GGGGGGGGGGGGGGGGGGGGGGGGGGGGGGGGGGGGGGGGGGGCGAGGGTGCCCAGGCAGGCGGGGTGCTCAGTCAGTCAGGCAGGAGCGGGGTCGCAGCTCGCTGCCGCTGCCGCTGCACTGCACTGCACAGGCCTGGCCTAAGGCACCTGAGCAGCTTGCCTGCAGGCAGGGATGAGGGTGTGTGGCCTCGGAGGAAGCAGTAGAAACCTGAGCAGGCGCTAGCTGATGCAGCCCAGGGAAAGCCAGCAACCCGCGGTGAGAGAGAGCAAGCAGGGGGACAGGTGGGAGGAACCCACGTGACGGGAGAGGAGGACACTGGTCGGGGTCTAACTCCAGAGGCTACAAAGCTGAAGGTGCGCAGCTGTCTTGTGATCTTCTCCTGTGTTGGGCACCAGATGATGAGTTTATCTAGGAATTTCGACCATTAATAAAGACTCGGGAGTCAAATATTGGGGTAAGAACCTGAATGATCCGAGACGCTGCTGAGAAGTGACCAGAGACCTCCTGTTTCTCTCCTCGGATTCCAAAAGGCCCAGACCGCCGGGTGGTGGTGGCGCACGCCTTTAATCCCAGCACTCGGGAGGCGGAGGCAGGCGGATCTCTGGGAGTTCGAGGCCAGCCTGGTCTCCAAGAGCTAGTTCCGGGACAGGCACCAAAGCTACAGAGAAACCCTGTCTCGAAAAACAAAAACAAAAACAAAAAAGGCCAGACCTTAACTAACCACCGCTCATCTCTCCAGACCCTGCTTTTATTTCTATTTTTAATTATCATTTTTGTTTTGTTTTGTTTTTTGAGTCAGAGTTTCTCTGTAGCATTGGAGCCTGTCCTGGAACTAGCTCTTGTAGACCAGGCTGGCCTTGAACTCACAGAGATCGGCCAGCCTCTGCCTCCGGAGTGCTGGGATTAAAGGCGTGCGCCACCACCGCCCAGCCCTTATTTCTATTTTTAAAATGCGTTGGTGTTTGACCCACACTTGTGTCTGTGTGAGGTGTTCCATCCTAGGGAGCTGGAGTTACAGCAATTAATTGTGAGCTGCAACGTGGGTGCCGGGAATCGAACCCAGGTCCTCTACAGGAGTGGCTGGTGCTCTAGCCACTGACCCATCTCTGTCCCTAACAGCAATGTTCTCCTTTCTCTCTCTCTCTTTTTTTTTTTCTTCTTTGTTTCGAGACAGGGTTTCTCTGTATAGCCCTGGCTGTCTTGGAACTCACAGAGATCTCTGCTGCCCAAGCGCTGGGATTAAAGGCATGCACCACCACTGACTGGCTATTCATATTTTTAAATAAAATATTATAAATATAAAGACTATACTTTCAGGGTTCATTTCTATAGTTCATTAATATAAATACTTAAAAAAAAAAAAAAGGAAGCAGTATCTACTGGAAAAGAGCTCCCAGCCTAAGATCGGCCAGCTCAGTATAGGCCCCACAGGACTCATTCCCTGCCTGTGCATGCTGTCCTGGCCCAACCCTGGGCAGTGGCAGGGGCTGGGCATTATCGCTGAGCAGCAGCTGTGGTGGAGACGGTGGCCACAAGAGTTTTTCGGCAGGCTTTGGCCGTGCTGAGTCAGGCCCCCTGGAGCACTGAGATGGGGAGCCCCATGTTGTTTGTGAGCCTAGCCTTTAACAGCTAAACCATCTGTCCAGCCTTCCTGCCCCTGTTAAAACTTGTTAGTTATTGATGTTTGTTGTTGTAATAGTTTAGCAGTAAAAGGTGACTTTGGCAGGTTGGAGCCAAGGGACTGCTACAAAACCATGCCATGCACTGAGCTCATGAGGGAGGTTCATTGGGGGGTGCAGAGACTGTCTCTGAGGGAGAGCAGAGAGAGGGGAGAAGGGCTTGCTTGTTCTACGGGGATGTTGCACGCACACATGCATAGGAAGAGCTCCTTCTGGGGGCTGTGGAAGCTACAGTGTTGCCGACTGCAGCTGCTGAGGGCCCTGCTAGGTCCGGCATAAATGCCTGAATGCTAACAGCTGCTGTTATTTGAGTCTGGGTTTCTCTGTGTAGCCCTGGCTGTCCTGGAACTCCCTATGTATCCCAGGCTGGCCTCCAACTCACAGAGATCTGCCTGTCTCTGCCTCCTGAGTGCTGGAACTAAAGGCTGTGCCATTATGAACCACCTCTGGTCTTGGTTGTTTTCAGACAGTTCCACACTGTAGCCCAGGCTAAACTCTAACACCAATTCTCCTGTCTCAGCTCCCTGAGTACTGGAGTAACAGTTATGTGCTATCATGCTTGCTTATTCTTAAATTCACTTAACAATTTAAATGTCATTTTATTTGTCTTGTGTGTGCTTGTCTGGGAGTGGGGGATTGGCACCCTTGGAAGGTCAAAGGACCACTTTGGAAGATAGTTTTCTCCTTCTACCCTGGCAGCAAGCCTCTATGCTTCTGACCTTTGCGTCCGGAGTCCTGCTTGTTGACACACGGACACAGGGACTCAGCTCAGCAGTCTACATACTGAACACCAGGTCGCAAAGGTTCCTCGGCAGCTGGGCATTGTGGATCCTTTGAGGGGCTGAGGCAGAAAGATCTTCAAGCCAACCTGGGCGCAAGAGCAAGTCCCGTTCAAAACACAAACTACAGGCAGAAAAGATGGCTCAGTGGATACGGTGCTCTCGCTAGACCTGCTCACCTGAGTTTAGTCCCCAGGGCCCACCAGATGTAAGAACTGAACCTCTCACCCAAGCTTGCCTCTGACCGCCCACAGGTGTGTGCTGTGGGTGCATGGTCACAGGTGGAGCCCCACCAGGAAGGTCCAACCCCAGCAGAGAATAAACTCAGAATTTTAAATCTCTTACTACTTGGGAGGCTGTAACAGGAAGTTCAGTAATTCAAGGCCATTCTCGGCTACTTAGTGAATTTGAGGGACAACCCCCCCCCTCCTGCTACTTGAGACTCTGTATCAAAAGAATTTTTTAAAATAGCAAAGTGGGTAGAAGCCAGTCTCGCACACCAGCAGCCTGGGATTCCCTCCGGGATTCCCTCCGCAGCAATGACCAAAATCTCACTCTGTAGACCAGGCCGGCCTGGAACTCATCTTGTAGACCAGGATGGCCTGAAACTGTGCCTGGGGTTCAGTTTCAGCACCCACATAGCTTTCCTCAAACATCTGTAAACACAATTCTGGGGAATCCGCTGCCCTCTTCTGACCTCCTAGGCCCAGTCAGACTCCTGTTTGGTCCAGCCAGCTAGGTGTGTTACATTGGCACACATTCCTCTTTTGGGGGCTGGCAAGATGGCTTAGTGGATAAAGGTGCTTTCAGGCCACGGTGGCAACCTGAATTTGATCTCAGGGACCCACATGGTGGATGGACAGACTGATCGCTGATTGCCACTGACCTCTGCACATGGACACACACAGTACAGACAACAAAGACATAAAATGTAATAGAATAAGGAACCCAAATGAGTGGGTCGCTGGTCAGGTCAAGGGGTCGAAGGTCCGATGCATGATCCCGGATCCAAGCAGGCCGAGGAACAGGAGCATGGCTTCGTCGGGTCGCTGCTGCAGCTGTGGCTGGTGCTGTTGATGCTGACGGTGCAGCGCGGGCCAGACCTGCTACGGCCCCTTCGCGGGGACCGCAGGCCCAGCTAGGGCGCAGAACTTATCCTCGGCTGCATCGGACATCCAAGAGCTGGGGCTGGAGAAATGTAGACGGTGTCAACCACGTCAGCGTCACCAGGAACCAGCGCATCCCACAGTACTGTGGCTCCTGCTGGGCCGATGGTAGCAGCAGCGCCATGGCAGACCCATCAACATCAAGAAGAAAGGCACGTGGCCCTCCCCCTGCTTTCAGTGCAGGACTTCATCGACTGTGGCAATGACCTTCCAGTGTGCGACCCGCATATGCCCGTAAGCATGGCATCCCCGATGAGACCTGCAACACCGTTAACCAGTGTGGGATCTGCACCGAATTCAGAGTGCATCCCACCCAGAATTACACCCTCTGGAGAGTGGTGACTATGGCTCCCTGTCAGGTAGGGAGAAGATGACAGCAGAGATCTACACCAACGGTCCCATCGGCTGGAGAAGACGGTGAACTACACTGGCGGCATCTACGCCGAGCAGCACCAGGACCAGACATCATCATCTCCGTGACTGACGTAATTCATGGGGCGAACCCTGGGGTGAGAGGGGCTGGATGAGGATCCTAATCAGCACCAACTAGGGAGGCGCAGGGGACAGTTACAGCCTGGCCATCCAGGAGGCCTGCACATACGGGGACCCCATTGTTTAAGTGGCCGTCTCTGGAGGCAACCTTGGAAACCATGGCAGGGTTGGGTGATTATCAGCACCGTCCGGTTCACTATGTTCACTACGTTCACTAGCACTGGACAGCTAGAAACGGTGCTTGCGGCCATCCCGAGAACAGAGCCCCCCCTTCAGCCACCTGGAAAAGACAGCTATGGTCTAGAACAGTTCTGATGTCACCCTGGAATCCTCGGGAGGGGAGGACAATCCCAGATTGCCTAAGCAGTGAATAAAGGCTCTAGCTTCACCAAAAAAAGGAAAAGAAGGAAAGAAAAAAGAAACCTAAATGAGCATCGCGGAAGTTAGTTAAGGCTTCCGTGCTACTTGTGGGGGGTGGGAGCCTCTGCTAAAATTGGCAACAGAAAAGAGGAAGCATTTACCAGAGATTGGGTTGGTTTCTCCTGCAGGATTTATTTTTCATAATCACAGTGCCTCAACTTGTAAGTACAAAATGGGCAGAATCCTGTGGCCTGAGTTTTTCTTCTGTGACCGGGAGAGTCTGTATTAGAGCTCAAGAGGGCCACTGCTGTGGGTTTTACTCTTCTATAGTACTGGGTAGGGAACCCAGGGTCAGGAGAGTCTAGGCGGGGCTCCACCCTGACCACGCCCCCAGCCCCTCACTGGGGGAAATCTAGGCGGGGCTCCACCCTGACCACGCCCCCAGCCCCTCACTGGGGATTCTAGGCGGGGCTCCACCCTGACCACGCCCCCAGCCCCTCACTGGGGGATTCTAGGCGGGGCTCCACCCTGACCACGCCCACAGCCCCTTCACTGGGGATTCTGGGCATGGCTCCGCCCCTGAAGCTGTCACAGAGGAGTCTGAAGAAAACCTGTTACCTTCTGACTGAAGCCGTCACTTAGGAGTACACTTCTGTATATGAGACCCTGTGTTCAACCCCAGCACACGGCATCACAGAACTGTGCAAGGAAATGTGGTCTAAGAGTTAAGCTTCTTTATGTGTGAATTTATGTTCACTATGCGGGTGCAGGTGCTCTTAGAAGGTCACTACTGTGCATGCTGGTAACTGATCCTGCATCCTCTGCAAGAGCGGTACGTGCTCAACCGCTGAGCCGTTTCTCCGGCCACAGGAAAGTGTATGTTTGTTTGGTCAGTGTGAAAGGCAGCCCCACAGGAAGAACGGACTGTTACTGACTTAGCATGGGGTGGAGGGAGTCTTTGGCTTGGTAAGGACAAGGTTTGGACTCCATCCGAAGCTGTCCCCAGTGACCAGCAGAGACCACTGACTTTCCTTCCCACAGCTACGCATTCCAAACATAAACCTCGTTCTGATTTTAACCCGGAAGTGAAATATGGCTGTTTAAGTCAAGGTGCTGTTCAAATAGGCTATATTTGACCAAGTTTAGTCTCAAAAGACACAGTAGTAGGCTAGCCTGGTCTACTGAATAAACTCCAGGACAGCTGGGGCTACACAGAGAAATCCTGTCTTGAAAAATAAAAATAATAAATAAATGTTTTGTCTGCATGCATGTCTGTGCACCATGTGGGTACAGGTGCCCACAAAGGTCAGAATGGGGGTCAGATCTCCTAGAACTGGAGCTCCGGCCAGCTGTGAGCTGCAAGTGAATACAGGTCCTCTGGAAGAGCCAGCTCTGCCCCTGGGTTTCTCTCTGCACCCAGTCCTTCCTGTTTTCATAAGTTATCTTTGTGTGGCTGAGTGTGAGTACACACCTGGGCGTGTCGGTGTCTGAGGCAGACAGAAGGAGCTCAGCTGACAGGAGAGTGCTGACCTGATGTAGGTGCTGGGAACTGAACTCAGTCCCCTGCAGGAGCAGCAGGCACTCTCTGGTGAGCCACCTCTTCAATTTGATTTAAAAAAAAAATGTATGTGTGCACACGCGTGTGCAGGCACTCTTGGAGGCAAGACCACAATGATGCTGGCTCACTGCAGGGACGCAGGGAACCAAACTTGAGTTTACATGAGCAGCCACTAAATCATCTCTAGAAATGACTGAATTTTTGTTGTTTTTTGAGACATGGTCTCTCTGTGTAGCCCTGGTTATTCTGGAACTCACTCTGTAGACCAGGCTGGCCTGAAACTCACAGAGATTCACCTGCCTCTACCTTCTGAGGACTGGGGTTAAAGGCACAGTCACTACTGCCCAGCTTCCTGGATTTTATCTGGTCATTTAAAGACGTGGAATTTTTTTCAGTACAGGATTATTTGGAACTCAGCAATCCTCTTACCTCAGCTTGGACATCACTACCACAGACGTTTCCTGAATTGGCTCAC